GCAGCAGCACGATTGGCCCACGACGACGACGACAGCGGCAAATCATTTGAAAAGTGGAAAGCGGCTTTGTCTGCCTGTCTCTCTCTCATTCTCTTTCTTTTCTGACATACCTCACTCTGTCTGCCACAATCACAGATCGGCAGCCGTCCACTCTCCTTTTTGCCGGCAAACAGACACACACACACTTTTCTTCCAATTTCTTCTTAGCAGCATTACCATCTCCTTCTTCTCTTTTCCTGTCCTTATCCCCAAAACGCGACCTTAAATAATTTATTAGCCATAATTACGATTATTTATCAATACACAGGGAGAGAGAAGAATGCATTCCATCCGGTGGTGCCCCTAATGATTGGACCATTCTTCCTTTTCCTCATAATGTTGTTGCCCTCGCCTTTTTTCTCTTCAATTCTTATTCGATTCGTCGCAGCATGTCATCATAAAAAAGAAGAATAAGCGCCGAAATCTGCTATTCGATCTGATTTTGGCTCAATCACATTCGCCTTTGTCCAATTTTGGTACTTTGTTTGTTGTGAGTTCACCAGTGCAACTTGAACTCTAACCACCTCTTTTTTACTACTCGTGATCAAGAATGTTCTTTTATCGTTATCTACTTTGACCATCATCATCTATTTCTTATAGAACCGGAAGATGCATTTACTTCAAAGCTTACCACTACCAGACTCAACTGTTTTAGTTTTCAGTTGTTGTCGACTTGCCATGGCCTCATCATACCTCTTCACTGCCTTACTTTTATCTCTTCAACTTCGCCAAGGTAGGTGAACAGCCGGAGTGAGAGGAAAAACAGGCCAATAACCGCAAAAAGAGCAGAAAGAGTAGAGTCGCGCCTTTCCGTCAGATTGCAGAGTTTGTCTAATTGCTTGCCCTCGCCTTCGCACTAAAAAAGGGAAACCAAGCACTCTATCTTACAAGTTAGCTCAAGTTATTATTTTAATTACCATCAAATCAGCAATCAGTTGTTAATGGAATGGGTCTATCGATCTTTGGCGAGATCAGATTTGATTCGAGAATGCAAAACCAGTGCAAGCACTTTTTTTCTTCCTGTGTTTTAGTCTGCTCTTATTCTCTAACTAAAAAAGCACTCAACCATTAGTTGAGCTCCCATCTGCACATTGTCTGTCTGATCATCATCGACGCTGCTTTTTGATATCTTTCAGCAAAAAGCNTCGAGAATGCAAAACCAGTGCAAACACTATTTTTCTTCCTGTGTTTTAGTCTGCTCTTATTCTCTAACTAAAGAAGCACTCAACCATTAGTTGAGCGCCCATCTGCACATTGTCTCTCTGATCATCATCGACGCTGCTTTTTGATATCTTTCAGCAAAAAGCACCAGCAGAGAAAAAGTAAATCGCCTTGTAATCGAAATATATTGGTAGATTTAGCAAAAGAAATGAAAAGAGACTGAAAAGAAACTAGCGAAATTCGAAAATCACTGGTAATATCAGTGAAAACATTTCCAGTTGATTAGCAACTGGCGTAGATGAAGTAGACAAGCAAGCAGGCAAGCAAACAGAGCTAGTGCCAATGCGAGCAATTGCGTGACATTGCCTCAACACGGAAAGTTTCGATTTAGATTTAGAGTTGAGGGTGACTTTAAAAATTGAATTCCCTCAACAGCAGCAGCAGCACTTGGCCGTCAAATGAGCGAACACTGCCGTTTTCGCTGTTTCTTTTTCCTTTGTTTGTTTTTCCATATTTTTTCCTGACGCCAAATTGCCTTCATTAAAAAGAAACGAGGACCAGTTTGGCAGTTGAAGGGAACAAAGTAGCAGCAGTGCTGAAAGCACAAATGACACAGGGGCCGCCATCTTACTGACTCTAGATCAGCTCCGCTGTCCTGTTTTTAAGTTTAAATTAATTAAACGTGTAATTAACAAACGGAAACTGTGCAGTGCAGCACAGTGCACTGGCCACCAGTTATAACTACAAAGATAATTAATCGCACGCCTATCATCGTTCAGCCAGTTTTGTCAACTAGCAAAACACGGGAATTGTTTTTCAGAGCTTTACAGTTTTTTCTTCAAACTTCTATCACAGAAATGCTGTGTAGTCGTCTTTTTGAGGTTTTTTCCTGTTTTCATTGTTCCAACAGCAACAGCAGCAGTCGTCATTAGTTCGTTTGCATGTTTATGCCTATGTATGTGTGCGGCCGGAACAAAACTGAAAAATTGACAAAATTAAACAGCTCCAGTTGACATTAGGGCGGAATGTGAATTCCACTATTGAATCAGTGATGACTTCTTAACAAACAACAGAGCAGACAATTCTCCTTCACTGGTTGCACAGGCAACGAAGTCTGTGGGCGCAATTAACTGAACTGAATTGAACTCTTCTTGGTGCCTGCGATGTTGAACAATCGTTTTTCGCTGAGCAGTGCATTTTTTGTTTTGACTGCTCACATTAAACAATTTTTGCTTATCTCTCTTGTTCTTTCCTTGACTCTGTCTTTTGCCTGCCTGCTTGCTCAGTCACTGCTGCAGTCTCAAGTGATGCCTCAAATGATTGGGACCACTGGTGGAGATACGATGGAATTTCGGGTAATATCAATCAACTTGATGACTCACCAGTCTGCACACACACACGGCTCACCACTTCCATTAATCACCAGGTCCGGATTTCTGGGGCATCCTCAATCCTGAGTTTTTTCTCTGCAACAAAGGCCATAGACAGTCGCCGATTGACATCAAGCCGGGCCTTCTCCTCTACGATCCCAACCTGAAGAGTATATTTGTAAATAAGAACAGGTAATAAATAGGTTGGCCAAGTCACACACTATCAGAGTAAACATTATCAACTCTTTTTTACATTTGTGCAGAATAAATGGCATTCTGGAGAACAACGGCCACAGTGTGGTCTTTCACTGTCACCCTAACCGAAGCGAGACACTGCCGGTGACAATTAACGGCGGTCCATTGTCGTACTCGTACTCATTCCACGCGTTGTACATTCACTTTGGTCAAATTGACACTTACGGGTCGGAGCACTCCATTTCGGGGTTTTTATTTCCCGGAGAGGTGTGTTAGTAAAAAAGTATTTGCTCAAAACATTATGGAATTTTAAATACTTTTCCTTTTTCATCCAGATTCAAATCATCGGCTACAACTCTGATTTGTATTCCAGCTACGAAGAGGCGGCAAGCAAGGCAAACGGCCTTGTTGGTTTGGCCATCTTTCTCAAGGTGAGTGCGTTAAGATTTTCCAATGACTTCATCTTTTTTCTGTAATTCTTTTTCAATTAACCAGCTAGGAAACGTCAGCTCACCAGCTGTCAAAATTTTAACCTCTCAACTACATCATATCAAGTTTAAGAATCAGAGTGTGGCACTGAAGTCACTGAGCCTTCGTGAGTTGATTCAAGACGAACAGAACTATGTCACCTATGAGGGCTCACTGACGATTCCTTCCTGTGAAGAGGTGGTCACCTGGATCGTCATCAACAAGGTTAGCAAAACTTCAGTAAGGAAAGTTCCTCAAACTAACTGTAATTTCATTTTTTGTTTTTCCCCTTTCTATTACTAGCCTTTATTCATTACAAAGGAGCAGGTAATTTGTCTGATTTATTACTTAGAGCCTATCTAACTGCTATTGTAACTAACTGTACATTAATACTACACTTTAATCTACTTATCAGCTTGCCATGTTGCGACTGTTGATGCAAGGTAAGATGCACGCTTCAGTTCAAGAAAAAAAAGTCTGCTTGTTTTTTAAGAATGAACAACGTTTGACTGACTGACTAACTTTATCCCTTTTTCCGCCCGTTTCCACTAACACACATACACACACAAAATACAGGCGATCTTAAAGAGCCAACAAAAACGCTCGGACCAAACTTTCGTCCCACCCAAAGTCTAAACGACAGAGTCGTTCGGACGAGCATTGAATTTAAATCACACGAAAAGGTATTAGTAAACAGTAATGTAGTATATTACTCTTATTAATTTCAATCACTACACCAGTGAGTGGGAATGGGAGGTGCAGTGGGAAGGATAGTACAAGTTCTGGGGACAAGATTCAAAATTGGGTACTAGTCAGGCTAGAAAGAGGATGGTGATCAGTTTGCTCAACAGACAAACTTTCCTTTCATTTTTAAGACTATCATGTTGTGTGCATCTCGGAAAATGGTTCCGATCAGTAGGGAAAGAAAAAAAAGAAGGGGGATTAGGCAAAACATGGAACAAATGAGGGCGAGAAATTGTCTTACCAACTGTCAGGGGTTAGCTGTGCATTTGTGCGCGCTCTCTCAACCGAACCAAATTTGCATTTACTCATCATCATTATCCATTTGATCTCTTTTGCACCCAGGGCAAGAGCTGTCCGACGATGAAGCGCAATGTCCACTACGAAGGTAAGTGGTAGTGGCTACAGTCTTCTTCTGCCGCCTGTTCTCTCGTTTAACTTGAACGAATTGTTCTTTCTCCTTTTTTATGGCACCAGTCAATCAGCGGCTGTGGAGCACCTAAGCTCCTCAACTGAACTCGCCTTCTCTACTACTGATGATGCTAATCCCACCACTGATGGTCACACTACTCTCTTTCTCTCTTTTCACCTCCTGTCGCCTGTTTTAGCTGTTACACTGTTGCTACTACACTACAGTGCACTGGTGCACTCATCATATCATTGCTTTGACATCTACACGCCATTTTCCTTTGATATATCTACACTTGCTCCTTTGCTCGCTTTCTTGCACTACTCTTTTGTTACCACTATCGATGTTGTTTCACTAATAAATGAAGCAAAAAACTGAAGGCTGAAATGTGTGTGTGTGTGTGTGTGCTAAAGTGGCTGGCTGTTGATGATGATGAAGGGGATGGTGGGGAAGTAGACACTAATGAAGGAGGGAAGAAGGATGAAACCGAAAACGTTTGAAGCTTTTTCAGAGAACGACAAAGCATTCGGCTTTAAAATTGGTAAAGCGGTAGGTGATGATGTTGAGCACACTTCTTCACGGTCTCTGCTGGACATGGAAATCAACAGAAAACACTTTCAGACTTTGGTGGCGGTCGAGGAGAAAGGCGTAAATGAGTCCATGCTTTTGGAGACGTTGGCAATGCGCAACATGAGCAATTCTCGGCGCTCTTCTTCGTAGGGTTTGATCAGGATGCGAATGCGCTGTACAGAATAAAAAAGCTTTAAAACTTGAAAAATCTAGAAACCAACCCCCCCTTTACCTCTTTCAGTGTTCCTGGTGTTCGTGCAATGAGCCAGAGTGCGGTGATTGGAATGCAGAGCACCGAGGAGGCGGCCACCAGCATGCCCATAATGTTCACCCACATCGGGTACTTGTAGTTGTTGTACTCCAGTGGCTCGTAGTTGACCAGTCCAAACACAATGATAAACTGATAAAGAGAGTGGATAAATAAAAAAATTAGAAAATAAACAAAAACACAAAAACGTACCATAATGAAGAAAGGTGCCATAAAGGTCCAGCAAAATTTCCACCACTGGTTCACCTCAAAGCCGACCATCAGCTTGATATCCTGTGAGAATCTCCGAACACCTGTAAAACAGATTTAGTTTTAGTTTTTTAACGTTCCAAGATGTATGCCCATTGTACCGTAGATCCAGGAAACGGCAATAGACTCAAAGAGAACCGCAAATAGAATGGAGTAGCCGGCGGCAAAGCGGTCCATAAACTGGACAATGTACACGCCGCCCTGGGTACAGCTGGCCAGGCCGACGATGAAATAGAAGGAGAACAGTAACGCCACAAAAGTCTCTCGGTTGCGCTTCACCAGCGGGTACTCGTCGCTGATGGCAGTGATGATGGCTTCACTGCCGCCAAACTGAAAAAAAGAAGTTTTTGATACAACATGAAAATAGAAGCTGAGGATGACCACTAACCGAGCTGTCCAGTCCAATAGTGAGCAGCATCAGGAAGAAGATGACCGACCAGAGTGGACCGGCGGGCATGGCCGAAATGGCCTCCGGGTAGACGATAAACACTAGACCGGGGCCTTCTGCTGCGATGTCGCCCACCTCCACGTTGAGTCTGTGGGCCATGTAGCCGAGAACGGCGAAGATGACGAAACCGGCGAGAAAGCTGGTGGCACTGTTGATGATGCTGGTGACCAGGGCGTCTCGGTGGACATTGTTGTAGAACTTGTTGTAGCTGGCAAAGGCCAACAGCACACCAAAGCCGGGGCCCAGCGAGAAGAAGACCTGCGTGGCGGCGTCCACCCACACCGTCGCCTTGTACAGTGCGTTGAAGTCCGGCGTCAGGTAGTAGCGAATACCGTTGATGGCGCCCGGCAGCATCAGCCCCCGAATGAGGAGAATGAAGAGAACAACATAGGGAAATAGAGCGGTAAACCAGACAACCTGAGGTGAAATGAGGGAAGTTAGTTTTAAAAAGTTTAGAAACTTAACCCAAAAGAAACACTAACCTTGCCTGAAAAAAGGTGTTTGAGAAAACAAAGCATTAGAGAAGGTGATGTAATAAACCTTGAACGTTACACACCTGAAGTAGATATGCCTTTCCATAAACTTGAGTAGAGAACGATAAAGGTTTAGAGATTTTAACCCACTTTAAAAACCATCACCAGACTTACCTAAAGTAGCAAATGAGATAAACTAGCAGTAGACTGAGGGCGATTTCCGCGCGAATATATCCGAGATCGTGAATGCCTGAACTGTGGTGGTACTGCAAGAAACCTCGACTGCTCGTCGAGAGGTGGCGTCAATGAGGTAGTTGCTGCAAGAAGAATGAAAAACGATTTCTTTCAACCTGGTACGTACTTGAAGTACTCGAGAGCAGCAGAGTTGCGAATTCGATCGCTGGCATTGGTGGGCGAGCTGACCGCTGAGCTATTGCTGATCTCAAAGCACTGCTTCGTGTTCCAGGGGTTGTTGCACGTCGTCCATGGCAGTTCAGCGGTGAAGGACTTTATGAAGAAGTGCATCGCCCTAATGAAAACCATTTTGTTCCATTGATAAGTTGTATTTCTAGTATTTAGGCTCACTCACCAGGCAATGATGACATTGTAGTAGAGGTCAACGTAGAAGGCAATCAGCACTACTGAGTAGCCAATGCCTTTTTGATTAAAAAATTTTGGCGTTGAAAACTTATGCAAAAAGTGATTTTTACACAACTAAATTACCTTTAAAAAGTGGCACAACTCGACTCCAACATGTGATAGCGCCCTTTCGATGGTACTGTCCCAAGGCTAGTTCCATAAAGAAGAGGGGCACTCCTCCAATTGCAAACATGATCAAGTATGGAATGAGAAATGCGCCTGAAAATGTGCATGTGTGATTATCAGTATTTTTGAATATTTAAACCTAAACTCCTTTGATATTCAATCCTCACCTCCTCCATTCTTAAAGCATAGATATGGAAACCGCCACACTAAAGTTAAATTGAAATGAAAAAATAAATGTTGAGGTAAAGTAAAAACAAACCAAAATAGTTAGCCCTACCATTGGAGAGATCGACTGCAAAGCCAATGACGGAGAGGAGAAAGTCCATCTTCTTGCCCCATGTTTCTCGGTCTCGGTCAAAGACCGTCTCACCGGAGCTGGGCCTCGGTTTTGGACTGACAAAGTTGTTGTTGGTGCTATTGTTGTTATTGGCGGCATTGTTGCACTTGCTGTTGAGGCCAAAATTGCCAATGCTGTTGTACGTGGGCACTGACGATTTGGGCGTCGTCGAGTCATTGAGATTTGAAGTGGAGCAGGATTTGGGCAATGCAGGACTAGAGGAGCTTTGTGGTGATGCTGTGTGAAGAAGGAAGAAGAGGGAAAAGAAAACAGAAGCAAAAAGTTGAATAGATAATGAGGCAATTAGTGAGCAGCAGTAGTGATTCAGTGAGAGCCAATTGATTAGTTTTTGGGGTGCACTACTACCGCTGCAATTGGACTCAAACTGCAATCAATACTGTTCTGCCAATGAGTCAATGGGACACTCACTAGGACAGGGAACAGGCAGGTTGGAGGTGGTGGCGGTGGCGTTGGTGTTGGTGCAGCGGTGGTTAATGGTCGAAGACGAGGACGCAGCAGCACTGTCTGTCGGCATGGCGTCGGAGGCGACTGAGGCGACGACGACCGAGACCGAGGAACAAGTCAGGACTGTTGCATTGCTGCTGCCGTCTGCTGCACTGCCACCACTATATCAGTCACTAGTGAAGAAGAATGCCTGGATGCCTCCTCGGGCAGTTGCTTAGAGCTGCCTTCACTTTGCTGCTGCTGCTCCGAGGAGCTTCAATTCTATTCCTTCTCCGAAAGACCCCCTGGAAAAGACGATCAGACAATGGAGGAAATCACTGGAAGCACTGTGAAGCAGCAGTGCACTGCCGCTGCAGAGGCGCCAGGCACCAGGCAGGGAGGCAACTACCCACCACCTAACAAGCAACAAACGGTGCCCACGCACACGCCTGCCTTTGAAAATGTGATCAGTCGTCGATATAGAGCCCACTGAACCTATGGCCTCCTTTTACTGTGTCTGCTGCTGCTGCTGATGCTCGATTGGCACTGGAGAACTGGTGAACTGCTCTTCAATTGAAATCAATCCAATTACCGGTCGGTTCGATTACCGATTAGAGCGAAGGCCACTAATTGGAGTGTCATAATCAGGCGGCGGGAAGGGGCAATTGATGAAATGAAATCGGGAAACAGTGGGCCGATAGAGAAAGAAAGAAAGAGACAGATTAGGGAGAGAGAGAAAGATGCCTCTCTATTGACCTGCCGGCTGCACGCGCCACCAGCTCCAGCACCGTTTGGGTCATAATTAGCCTAATGATTAAGTAATCGATTGTCAGCAGCACTGCCACTGAAAAGTGCTCGGTCAGTGCTTGTACATATGCTAGTGCTTCTGATGCTGGTGCTAGATGCACTGCTGATAGTGCTTCAATTAGTCGCCGCTCCGACTGCTGCGATGACTTCAATGATCTTCGCTTCATTGAGTACCTCTGCTGGGCTGAGTTCTTTGGCGCCCGGGCGCCAATGTGTGTGTGTGCGATCCTTTGTCAAAGCAACGGTCCTAAGCTGATCGGCCATTGTGTCCAACTGCCGTGGTGCGCATCCCGCTTTTGTTGAGTGTCTCCGCTTGGTGCTCGGTGCTCCCTTTGTGCTCGCCCCTTGCCATTACCATTGATTGCTGCTGATGCTACTGCTTTTTCTGTTGCGAAACCAGGCTGCCTCTTTGACTCCGGTAGCCAATTGGCCTGCTCCAAAATGGCTAGCCAAGTGCTGATTCAGTGTGCTGCTGCTGCTGTAGCACTGGGTGACACTGGCGCTNAACCAGGCTGCCTCTTTGACTCCGGTAGCCAATTGGCCTGCTCCAAAATGGCTAGCCAAGTGCTGATTCAGTGTGCTGCTGCTGCTGCTGCTGTAGCACTGGGTGACACTGGCGCCAGTCAAGTGGGGCCAATGGAACACTTTCTCGTAGTGGATAATTGCTGCATTAGTAGGAGTGCATCAGCAGTGCCTTTTTCTCATTGTCTGCCTGCCTGCTCTACTGCTCATTATCTGCCAACCAGAAGGAGAGAGAGAGAGAGAGAGAGAGAGAGAGAGAGAGAGCGAGCGAGGAATCAGTGCACTTCCCCTTCATCGGTCGCTAACAATCTCGCTAACCATCTCCTCCACTGGTCCATTGTGTCCGGCAGGCAGCAGCAACTATTCTATTCAAATTCAGAGCTCAGTTCCTCCTCTTTCTTCTCTCTTCCCATTAGGGCCAATAAGCGCATTGTCGCACTTGAGTAATCTCCAATAGATCGCCTCCTCCCGTCTCAACTCTCTCTCTCTCTCTGT